GCTGATATATGAACAAAATCTTTTCTTTAAAAAAAAAATTTTACTTAGTGTGCATGGCTTTTTTCCAGGTGCGCTCAATAGTCAGGAAATTACGGTAACTTTGATCATGCACACACTAAATGCTCGGAGTGGTGCCAAGTTACTAATGACAGGAATTATCCTGTGGTGACAGACCAGTCCTCGGCAACAAACTCCACTCCCACACTGTTAGCAGAGCTCGCTGCAGAAAGCCATGAAGCCAGGAACACTCAGAGGGAGACATGGTGATGGCTGGATCGTTTTTGGTTTTTGAACCCCTTACCTCTGAAGGTGAAGGCAGAGCAATAATGTTTTGTGTTTGTCTGTACCACTAGAAAAATATTACTGTATGTTCCACCGTACACGTCTCACCGCCGTATAAGTCGCATCAGTCCAAATATTTCTAATAAAGTGGAAAAATCCATAGATGTGTTGCTTCGCTGTATAAGTTGCATTGTTGGTTAAGTGTCAGCGGTGACAACCCAGAAATGTGGGCGGATGTGCCAAAAATCAAATGGCTGCCAAATGGTGGCCACGGGAGCGTGTACGGGAGGACTTTAACAAGAATTTAACAAGATTAACACTTAAAAACAATTATTTGTTTGCTCAACTTTACAGTAAAGGTTTGTCTCAGTTGAACTTTTACAAACAGGATTCCAAAAAAGTTGGGACACTAAACAAATTGTGAATAAAAACTGAATGCAATGATGTGGAGGTGCCAACATCTAATATTTTATTCAGAATAGAATACAGATCACAGATCAAAAGTTTAAACTGAGAGAATGTATCATTTTAAGGAAAAAATCTGTTGTTTCCAAATTTCATGGCGTCAACAAATCCCAAAAAAGTTGGGACAAGTCCATTTTTACCACTGTGTGGCATCCCCCCTTCTTCTTACAACACTCAACAGATGTCTGGGGACAGAGGAGACGAGTTTCTCAAGTTTAGAAATAGGAATGCTCTCCCATTCATGTCTAATACAGGCCTCTAACTGTTCAATCGTCTTGGGCCTTCTTTGTCGCACCTTCCTCTTTATGATGCGCCAAATGTTCTCTATATGTGAAAGATCTGGACTGCAGGCTGGCCATTTCAGTACCCAGATCCTTCTCCTACGTAGCCATGATGTTGTGATTGCTGCAGAATGTGGTCTGGCATTATCGTGTTGAAAAATGAAGGGTCTTCCCTGAAAGAGATGACGTCTAGATGGGAGCATATGTTGTTCAAGAACCTGAACATAGTTCTCTACATTAATGGTGCCTTTCCAGACATGCAAGTGCTCATGCAACCCCATACCATCAGTGATGCAGGCTTCTGAACGGAGCGTTGATAACAACTTGGGCTATCCTTGTCCTCTCTGGTCCGGATGACATGGCGTCCCAGTGTTCCATAAAGAACTTCAAATCGTGACTCATCTGACCACAGAACAGTCTTCCATTTTGCCACACTCCATTTTAAATGACCCCTGGCCCAGTGCAAACGTCTGAGCTTGTGGAGCTTGCTTAGAAATGGCTTCCTCTTTGCACTGTAGAGTTTCAGCTGGCAACGGCGGATGGCACGGTGGATTGTGTTCACTGACAATGCTTTCTGGAAGTATTCCTGAGCCCGTTCTGTTATTTGCTTGACAGTGACATTTAAGGGCCCGGAGATCACGAGCATCCAGTAGAGTTTTATGGCCTTGACCCTTACGCACAGCGATTGTTCCAGTTTCTCTGAATCTTTTGATGATGTTATGCACCGTTGATGATGAGAACTTAAAAGTCTTTGCTATTTTACGCTGGGTAACACCATTCTGGTATTGCTGCACTATCTTTCTGCGCAACAATGGTGGAATTGGTGATCCTCTTACCATCTTGGCTTCTGAGAGACAGTGACACTCTGAGAAGCTCTTTGTATACCAAGTCATGTTGTCATTTGACCTAATTAGTGTTAATTGGTCTTCCAGCTGTTCGTTATATGCTCAATTTCCTTTTTCCAGCCACTTATTGCTACTTGTCCCAACTTTTTTGGGATTTGTTGACACTGTGAAATTTTGAATCAACATATTTTTCCTTTAAAATGTTACATTTACTCAGATTAAACTTTTGATCTGTCATCTATGTTACAGGTCTTTCTCAAAAAATTAGCATATTGTGATAAAGGTCATTATTTTCCATAATGTAATGATAAAAATGAAACTTTCATATATTTCAGATTCAATGCACACCAACTGAAATATTTCAGGTCTTTAATTGTTTTAATACTGATGATTATTGCATACAGCTCATAAAAACCCAAAATGCCTGTCCCAAAAAATTAGCATATTTCATCTCACCAATGAAAGACAAGTGTTTATAATACAAAAAACGCCAACCTTCAAATAATCATGTTCAGTTATGCACTCAATACTTGGTCGGGAATCCTTTTGCATGAATGACTGCTTCAATGCGGCGTGGCATGGAGGCAATCAGCCTGTGGCACTGCTGAGGTGTTATGGAGGTCCAGGATGCTTCGATAGCGGCCTTAAGCTCATCCAGAGTGTTGGGTCTTGCGTCTCTCAACTTTCTCTTCACAATATCCCACAGGTTCTGTATGGGGTTCAGGTCAGGAGAGTTGGCAGGCCAATTGAGCACAGTAATACCATGGTCAGTAAACCATTTACCAGTGGTTTTGGCACTGTGAGCAGGTGCCAGGTTGTGCTGAAAAATTAAATCTTCATCTCCATAAAGCTTTTCAGCAGATGGAAGCATGAAGTGCTCCAAAATCTCCTGATAGCTAGCTGCATTGACCCTGCCCTTGATAAAACACAGTGGACCAACACCAGCAGATGACATGACACCCCAGTGACTGTGGAAACTTGACACTGGACCTCAAGCAATGTGAATTCTGTGTCTCCTCTCTTCCTCCAGACTCTGGGACCTTGATTTCCAAAGGAAATGCAAAATTTACTGTAATCAGAGAACATAACTTTGGACCACTCAGCAGCAGTCCCAGGCGAGATGCTTCTGACGCAGTCTCTTGTTCAAGATTGGCTTGACCTGGGGAATGTGGCACCTGTAGCCCATTTCCTGCACACGCCTGTGCACGGTGGCTCTAGATGTTTCTACTCCAGACTCAGTCCACTGCTTCCGCAGGTCCCCCAAGGTCTGGAATCGGCCCTTCTCCACAATTCTCCTCAGGGTCCGGTCACCTCTTCTCGTTGTGCAGCGTTTTCTGCCACACTTTTCCCTTCCCACAGACTTCCCACTGAGGTGCCTTGATACAGCACTCTGGGAACAGCCTATTCATTCAGCAATTTCTTTCTGTGTCTTACCCTCTTGCTTGAGGGTGTCAATGATGGCCTTCTGGACAGCAGTCAGTTCGGCAGTCTTACCCATGATTGCGGTTTTGAGTAATGAACAAGGCTGGGAGTTTTTAAAAGCCTCAGGAATCTTTTGCAGGTGTTTAGAGTTACGTCGTTGATTCAGATGGTTAGGTTAATAGCTTGTTTAGAGAACCTTTTCATGATATGCTAATTTTTTGGGACAGGCATTTTGGGTTTTCATGAGCTGTATGCCATAATCATCAGTATTAAAACAATTAAAGACCTGAAATATTTCAGTTGGTGTGCAATGAATCTGAAATATATGAAAGTTTCATTTTTATCATTACATTATGGAAAATAATGACCTTTATCACAATATGCTATTTTTTTGAGAAGGACCTGTATATTACGAATAAAATATTGACATTTGCCATCTTCAGATCATTGCATTCAGTTTTTATTCACAATTTGTTTAGTGTCCCAACTTTTTTGGAATCCGGTTTGAACTTAATAAATGCACTTCAATGGTCAAATCAGCTGTATTTCTCTGGGGCGGCGCAGCAAAATGATTTGACGGTTGCTTCAAGCGAGCTGGACGATGGTGGTAGTCTATGGCAAGCCGATTGTGTCATTAATAGCCACTTTTACCTATTACATGACGCAACGGCATGCCATACAACTCGAATGCCATCTAGCAGCTGAAAATGGTAGTGTTCAATATTTTCAATCAAAATGAATGAAAACGATCATATCTCAAGACAAAAATTGGTTTATAAATATTGAAAAAAAATTCATAAATATGTTGCTTTGGTGTATAAGTCGCAGGGCATGTAAATTATGCAAAAAAACATGACTTACAGGGCGAAAAATATGGTACATAAATCACAGTACAGAAATATCCTTCAGTCCTGACTCAGGCTGTTCGAACCAGCCTTTTGAATTCAGAACAAGCTGCTCAAACGAAAACATGGAGGGTGACTGTCCCACAACGCTGGCCCAGGGGGGTGGGGTGGGGGGGGGGGTGGGGTGGGGGATGTTTTCTGTGCAGGCAAAAATGAAAGGACCCTAATGTAATGTCTTAACATACCCAGACTTTATTACCATAAACTCTTGAGCAGATGGATTATTGGAGGCTGGATAGATTTTATGTGATGCTGCACAAATATAACTAAAGTTTCTATGTATAAGATGAAAAATACAAAAAGCTAATTTGATTCTCCTGCTGTCGTAACATGGCAAAATGTTGATGCAAAAGGTACAAAAGCTGATTCACCAAAATACAAATAATCAATTTCAGGTATGTCTCATGATTTCTGTCAGTCTCTCAGGCAGAACTAAAGGCCCAAAGCCAAAGTTTGAAGCAGAGATTTGAAGCAACGTGTTGCAGTTGAAGTATATGTTGGGGACAATTCTCAGCTACTACCACATCAACTATTAGCTCAAGACTGTTTTTCTGTGGCAGCAATATTTAATTGTGTTAAATCCAAAATTACTTTTAGACGACAGCCCAACAATTATTTTCTGAAAACAACTGAAATCTGCTCAGTGATTCATGAGATATTTGCTGATGGTACAAACAAAGACATGCGTGTAAAATAATCAATGCAAACCAAAAGAGCTTAAGTTTGACAAGTTGTGATGTTTATCTGCCACTGTAGGTGCATGAAATATAACAAATTATGTTTTGTATAAAGAAACCCACCGTTATCAATGTCAAATGTAGCCTTCTCCCTTCCATCTTCCACAATTCTGCCAGGAAGAGTTAATCTGACAACAGTAACATACATTTATGTACACATATAAAATATAAACATAACATCTGCTGTTGCTTGTGAAAAACCTTCACCTGCCATGACTCACCTGAGAAAGTAGGGCTTTGCATAGAACTTAAAGTCTGTCCCATCAATGAACAGGTCGAACTCTGAGGTTCTGGTGTAAGGGACCCGGATGCTGAAGATCAGGTGTTCAGGGTTCTGGCTCAGGTCAAAGGCAGGAGTTATCATTCTGACGGATCCTGGAGGACAGACAAGAGGGACAGTCATGGTGCTGATCAGACAGCCCGCCCCCTGGTGGCTGACATAGATACTGCGTCTGAGAACCGTAAATAATCCCGTGTCGAATTTTTACATCCACTGACTGTGGCTGCAAGTCACAAAACATGTTTCATGGTGCAAAGTTTTATTTATACACAATAATCATAGCCTACACTTTTCTTCGGCTCATCTCCGGTGGCAAAATAAAAGACCTCAACCGGCAACAACTAATTTGATACTTACACAGGGCTGTTTCCGTCACTTCTGTGTTTAATATTTACGAAAAACGAGCAGCTCGTTTGCTTTTAAGTCAACCGAATTTAAACTTAGAGCATCAAAGAGGGAAATACTAAGTGTGGTTCTATAATTCGAAATACTTTGTCGACAAAGCCGAAGCCACGTTGATTTAGCCGATTCTTAAAGGAAGTTCTGTTCGTAGTTTTAGCTGCTAGCTAACACGTGATGTGCGTCCTCGTGGGGTGAAGCGCTCAGCGTCAGCTGCTGCAGAGCTGTACCGACATCATCTTTACACCATGCCCTCAATATGAGCCGTTCCAGCACAACTTATTAAAAGTAGTTAAGGTTCAAATGATGATAAACACAACTCACACTCAGCCCAAACACTCCTCGTGTCCTAAAATCAAAATAACGTAGGGTCCATCTTTTACCGTAATGTATGGCATAAACGCGCTGTCGTAAAAACCTGTTATTTCTGTAAAAAGAAAGAAGAAAGAAAACACAACCAGACGGGAAAGACACGTCATAATTTTGTACAAAATACCTTTTTTATATCAAAATTACAAATCAGATGATATGTTTAACTAAATGTTTGTGTTTAGCTTTTTCTATGTGCATTACAGATGCACGAGACAAGAACTTACAAATCTCATAACCCCTTAGTTTATTCACAGCTGAACATAGTAATCATGACAAGTGTTTAAGAATTGATGCCTTTTCTGGCAAGAAAACATTGGATAATTAGCAGCTAGAGTAAAATTTGCAACTAATTTGGTTACGAAACAACAAGTCTCTGAACACTAGGAAACACCTAACTGTGACTTTCCTTCCATCCAATGATTTCGGTGACATACATGAAAGCTCTACAAGCACCCTGCAGATGTTGGATGCTGTCTATCATGGTGCATTAAGATTCATAACTGGCTGTAACTACCTTACCCATCATTGCACCCTGGTTAACTGGTTAACTGGACATCATTAACTTCATGCAGACTCTCTCACACAAGACACTCCTGAACCAGAAACAACACCTTTCAACATATATCTTCTCACAACAGAATCATGTTCAGGCTGCTGTTTAATACATCATATTACATTACATATTACAGCTTTGTGGATTGGTGTGGACAGAATCATCTGCAACTCAGTGTTGGAAAAACTAAAGTGCTGCAGGTGGACTACAGGAAGAAGATCAGCCCCCCCAACCCTATCAACATCAAGAGTACTAAGGTGGACATTGTGGACTGCTACAAGTACCCGGGGGTCCACCAAGACAATAAACTGGACTGGACAGCTAACACCAACACCCTCTACAAGAAAGGGCAGAGTCGCCTTTTTCTTCTGAGGAGACTCAGGTCCTTTAACGTCTGCAGGACCATGCTGCAGATGTTTTACCGCTCGGTGGTCTCCAGCATCTTCTTCTACGCTGTGGTGTGCTGGGGCAGCAGGGTGAAGAAAGCTGATGTCAACAGACTCAAAAAACTCATCAAGAGAGCTGGTTCAGTTCTGGGAGTGGACCTGCAGTCTCTGACAGAGGTGTGTGAGCAGAGGATGATGAGGAAACTGCTCCAGATCTTGAACAACACGTCACACCCCCTGCATGAATGACACCCTTGATTCTTACCGCAGCATCTTCAGTCGTAGACTGAGACCACAGAGGAGCACCACAGAACGTCACAGGAAGTCTTTCCTCCTTGTGGCTATCAATCTTTTCAACCCCCCCCCCCCCCCCCCCCGCACATAGAACAATAAAATGAATCCTGCACTACAATAAACACTTTAATGTTTTCACATTATAAATCATTTCACACCTGTATGCACCTGATCTGTTTTAGACTTTAATTGTTGGTATTTTTATATTCTCTGTTATTTTTTTATACCTTGTCGTGATTCCTTGTGTATGTTCCTTTGTACTGAAACTGTAACACAACAATTTCCTGTGGGATCAATAAAGTTCTATCTTATCTCTTATCTTTGTTTAGTGTATATCTTAGATCCTTGTATACTGTTTCTTTTTTATACTGTAGACGCTCTCACTGGTACATTTTCATCTTTAAATCACTTCTTGGTCTGCTGCCTTCATACATCTACTCCTACACGTCTCTGCGTGAGTGCAGCTACAGTGTGCGCTCTCACGACATTATTACATGCAGTGTCTCCTCAGTGAAGACTGAACTAGGCAAAAGGGCCTTCTCCTACTCCGCTCCTGTTTCCTGGAATATCTTACAAAAAGATCTGAAGCTCTTGACCTTTCTAAGTGGCTTCAAACATCTGCTAAGTTCATGGGGAAAAAACAATGCAGACGTGTTCCTGTTTTTAGTTGTTTACACTGCTTTATAATCTAGCTGTTTATGTTTCATTTTTTTTATACAATTTTCTTTCATTTCAAAGTCAGTGTCTAAGTCAGCATATTTTTATTTGTCACACGCACCACATGTGGTGGAACAAAAATGTGTACACAGGGTTAACAAAAGTTTAAATTGTAAAAAATAATCTATGGTATGAACTAGCATATGAAGCGCCTCCATGGGCTGCCACCTTACTGTGGTGGAGGGTTTTGAGTATCCCAATGATCCTAGGAGCTATGCTGTCAGGGGCTTCATGCCCCTAGTAGGTTCACCCAAGGCAGACAGGTCCTAGGTGAGGGACCAGACAAAGTGCAGCCCAGAGACCCCTTGTGATGAAAAGATGGATGGAAACAGTGTTCCTTCGCCCGGACGTGGGTCACCGGGACCCCACTCTGGAGCCGGGCCTGGAGGTGGGGCAAGCTGGCGAGCACCTGGTGGCTGGGATTTTACCCATGGAGCCCGGCCGGGCACAGCCTGAAGAGGAGACATGGGTCCGCCTTCCCATGGGCTCACCACCTGTGGGAGGGGGCAAAGGGGTCGGGTGCAATGTGGGATGGATGGTGGCCGAGGGCGGGGACAATGGTGATTTGATCCTCGGCTACAGAAGCTGGCTATTGGGACGTGGAATGTCACCTTTCTGGCGGGGAAGGAGCCTGAGCTGGTGTGTGAGGTTGAGAGGTTCCGACTAGAAATAGTCGGACTCACCTCGACGCATGGCTCTGGCTCTGGAACCAGTTTCTTTGAGAGGGGTTGGACACTCTTCCATTCTGGAGTTGCCCTTGGTGAGAGGCGCCGACCAGGAATGGGCATACTTGTTGCCCACCATCTTGGTGCCTGTACGTTGGGGTTCACCCCAGTGAACGAGAGGGTAGCCTCCCTCCGTCTATGGGTGGGGGAATGGGTTCTGACTGTGGTTTGTGCTTATGCGCCAAACAGCAGCTCAGGTCACCCACCCTTTTTGGAATCCTTGGAGTGGGGTACTGGAGAGTACGCCTCCTGAAGACTCCCTTGTTCTGCTGGGGGACTTCAATGCTCACGTGGGCAATGACAGTGAGACCTGGAGGGGCGTGGTTGGGAGGAACAGCCCACCTGAACTGATCAGAGTGGTGTTCTGTTACTGGACTTCTGTGCTTGTCATGGATTGTCCATAATGAACACCATGTTCAAGCATAAGGCTGTCCATATGTGCTCTTGGCACCAGGACAGCCTAGGCCACAGTTTGATGATCGACTTTGTTGTCATCTCGTCTGATTTATGATGATGGGGGAGGATGCCGGTCAGACCTGGCAGACCCAAACGTATTGCGAGGGTCTGCTGGGAACGTCTGGCAGAGTCTCCTGTGAGACGGAGCTTTAACGCCCACCTCCGGGAAAGCTTCAGACACGTTCAGGGGGAGGTGGGCGACATTGAGTTTGAGTGGTCCATGTTCTGCGCCTCTAATTTCAAGTCGGCTTATTGGAGTTGTGGTTGCAAGGTTGTCAGTGCCTGTTGTGGCGGTAACCCGTACCTGGTGGTGGTGGACACCAGCAGTGAGGGATGCTGTCAGGCTGAAGAAGGAGTCCTATTGGGCCTATTTGGCCTGTGGGACCCCAGAAGCAGCTGATGGGTACCGGCAGTCCAAGCAGCATGCGGCTCGGGTGGTCGCTGAGGCAAAAACTCGGGCGTGGGAGGAGTTCAAAGAGTCCATGGAGAATTACTTCTGTACGGCTTCGAGGCGATTCTGGTTCAACATCTTGGTTTGTTTTGTTTTTTTGGGGGGGAGGGAGCGGTAAGCCACCAACACTATTTATAATGGAAGTGATGTGCTGCTGACCTCAACTCAGGATGTAGTGGGTTGGTGGTCAGAATACTTTGAAGACCTCCTCAATCCCACTGGCACATCTTCCACTGAGGCAACGGAGCCTGGGGACTTTGGGTCAGGCTCTCCAATCTCTGGTGCTGAAGTCACTGAGGTGGTTAAAAAGCTCCTTGGTGGCAGGGCTCCAGGGGTGGATGAGATTTGTCTGGAATTCCTTAAGGCTCTGGATGTTGTGACACTGCAATACTGCATGGACATCGGGGGCAGTTCCCCTGGATTGGCAGACTGGGGTGGTGGTTCCCCTATTCAAAAAGGGTGTTCGTAGAGTGTGTTCCAACTATAGGGGAATCACGCTCTTAAGCCTCCCTTATAAGGTCTATTCAAGAGTTCTGGAGAGGAGTTGAGATAGTCGAACCTCAGACTCAGGAGGAGCAGTGCGGTTTTCGTCCTGGCCGTGGAACACTGGACCAGCTCTACACCATCAGCAGGGTCCTGGAGGGTGCGTGGGAGTTTGCCCAACCAGTCTACATGTGCTTTGTAGAATTGGAGAAGGCATTCAACTATGTCCCTCTGGGAGCCCTGTAGGGCGTACTCCGGGAGTATGGGGTACCAGGCCCTTTGATACAGGCTGTTAGGTCCCTGTACGACCGGTGTCAGAACTTGGTCCACAATGCCAGTAGTAAGTCGGGCTCGTTCCCAGTGAGAGTTGGATTCTGCCAAGGTTTCCCTTTGTCACCGATTCTGTTCATAACTTTTATGGACAGAATTTCTAGGCACAGCCAAGGTGTTGAAGGGATCCATTTTGGTGGCCTTAGGATTGCTTCTCTGTTTTTTGCAAATTATGTGGTCCTATTGGCTTCATCAGGTCATGATCTACAGCTTTCGCTGGAGCAGTTTGCAGCTGAGTGTGACGCGGCTGGGATGAGGATCAGTTCCTCCAAATCTGAGGCCATGAGCCGGTAAAGGGTAGAGTGCCCTCTCTGGGCCCTAAGTGGAGGAGTTTAAGTATCTTGGGATCTTGTTCACAAATGAGGAAAAAATGGAGCGTGAGATCGATAGGCGGATAGGTGCAGTGTCGGCAGTGAAGCGGGTGCTGTGCTGGTCTGTCATGGTGAAGAGAGAGCTGAGTCAAAAGGCGAAGCTCTCACTTTACCGGTCAATCTATGTTCCTACCCTCATCTATAGTCATGAGCTTTGGGTTGTGACCGAAAGAACAAAATCATGGATACAGGCGGCTGAAATTAGTTTTCTCCGCAGGTTGTCTGTGCTCTCCCTTAGAGATAGGGTGACAAGCTCGGTCATCCAGGAGGGACTCAGAGTAGAGTCGCTGCTTCTCCACGTCGAGAGGAGCCAGTTGAGGTGGTTTGGGCATCTGGTTAGGATGCCTCCTGGACGCCTCCCTGGTGAGGTGTTCCGGGCACGTCCCATCGGAAGGAGACCCAGAGGAAAACCCAGGACACGCTGGAGGGACTATGTTTCTTGGCTGGCCTGGGAGCGCCTTGGGATTCCCCCGGAGGAGCTGGCCCAAGTGGCTGAGGAGAGGGAAGTCTGGGCCTCCCTACTTAGGCTGCTACCCCTGCGACCCAACCCCGGATAAGTGGAATAAAATGGATGGATATGATCTAAGAAAAATGTTTAACTAAAACAACGCTAAGCACTTGTAGTACAAAAATAATATGGTGAACAGCAGCACAAACATGAGTCTGTGTGAGCAGATGAATATGAATTAACACCACATTCTGAATAAATCAGCAGCATGAGCTCAGCATCTTGGATAATCAGCAGCACATTATAAACAATCAAGTGGCATTACAGTGATTTTTTTCACAGAGATTATCCTGGTTAGAGAGTAATGAGTCTAACAGCCTCAGGGTAAAAGTTGTTCCTCAGTCTAGTGGTTCTACAATTAATGCTCCTTAACCTTCTGCCTGAGGGGAGCGAGGCAAAAAGTGTGTGTGCTGAGTGAGTGGGGTCCTTCATGATGCAGGTGGCCCTCTTCCTGCATCTGGAGGTGTAAAGGTGTAGCCGAAGTAAGGAGTACTTTCAGGAGGATTAATCCGCACAAGGCAACCGGCCCAGACAACATCCCCGGAAAAGTGTTGAAAGAATGTGCCGATCAGCTCTGCGAGGTGCTGGCAGACATCTTTAACACCTCACTTACCCTGGAGACAGTTCCCACCTGCCTGAAGACTGCCACCATCATCCCAGTCCCAAAAAGCTCTACAGTGACTGGTCTGAATGACTATCGGCCAGTGGCCCTCACCCCGATAGTCGCTAAATGCTTCGAAAAACTGGTCATGACTCACATCAAAACAACCATCAACATCAACGAGGACCCTCATCAGTATGCATACCGTGAGAACCGATCAACAGAGGATGCAATCTCCTCTGTGGTCCACAC